GAAATTTTAAATTTCAACTAAAAGTTGTAGCGTAGTGAATTCATTAACACAGATGTGAATATTAACTTGATTATTGCTTTTAAGACCAACGAAAAGACTAATTATAAGGCAACCAATTTGAGCTAAATATATAGGCCTGAAAACGACCCAACCTAATCGCGCATTGAAGTTATAAAAGGATTACCATCCACAACTTTAAATGGTAGTTAGGAAGTTATTAAGCAAACAAAGAAGGTTCTAAAAAGTGATAATTCAATAGATTTGTATTCACCAACAAGTTTGTATTTTACTAATTGTATTGATTTATGACCTGTGCTAGTTTCTTCTCAAACCTTCATTATTGACAAAGCCACATTTTCTTTCCGCATTCTTCGTTTTCAAATTCTAAAAATTTTAAAGAGGCATGTGATGTGGGAATGAGGAGTGTTTCCCTTCTGTCGGTGCTTTTTTGAGTAAATTTTTTCGATAATCAAATTTCAATTTCAAATCGTCTTTTCTTAGCAGTCTCTCCTTCTCTTCCGTTTATAGTCTTCATTTTTTTCGAAAAAATTTTTAAATTAATTCTATCTTTTTACTACCCGATTCCAATTGCTTTCCCTGCCTTCATTGCTCACTGATTCCTTCTCTCCTTTCCATTCCTAGCCATTTAATATCTATTTTACTTAACTTCAACAGTTCAACAACATTACACCACTGATTTTTGTGTTTTCACATATTCTGAAGCTATGCAAATCGCTTTTTGTGCATTTTCATGAGCAGTGAACAAGAATTCAAGCGTTTTCCTTTATAAAGATTGGGGGTGACATTAATGACCAGGAGGACAAGAATCTGGAAATTGTTATAAAGTTATAAAGAGTATTGTTTGATGCAGAGAAGAGCAGAAAATGGAATCTAACCACAAAATATAAAGTATAAAATAAGGTGTCAAAACAAATAGAAATGAAATTGTAAAAGTTACAACGGTCATTTTGAAGAATCTCCGGCTTTAATGGTATTATTTTTAAGCTCTTCAATCAAGCTTCATAGGTGAACACGTTCATTAAAAATAGACTGTAAATAAGTATCCGAACTAATTTTGAAACTAATGCTAACAAATCTTTCAAACTTAAAATGTAAATTCATATGATATTCCAAAAATTTGATCGAAATATGAAAGCGTTCTCTTTTTAATTCCACCAATTTCTTTTTTTTTTTTGTTTACTCATTAGTTTGGATTATTATAAACCCCATGGCCACAGCAAAATAAAAGGTCAGGATTTCTTGACAATGTTCAACAGTTTTCTCCGGTTAATCTTTACTATTTTTAAAGATTTTTTTAAATTCTTGAGAGAAGTAATAAAAGGAATTTAAAAATTATGGATAACAAATATTAATGGCTAATGTTATTGTACTTGTTGCAATTATTATTGTTGTTATTATTATTGTCCTCAATATTGATGTTGATAGTATTGATGTGAATGGCAATTCATTAGGGAGTAAATAAACGAACAAGTTTTTTTGCAGAAATTTTAAAATTCCTAATTTTTATAAAGCATTTATCTTTCAGCAGTCAATAGATGTATAATTTAATTTTTGTTATTTCAGTCAGTTTATGATTATTTGATTTTTAAGTAATGATTTCATTGATATTACCCTACTTAAGCTTCTTTTCAAGAATGGAATATCTATGGAATAAAGATCGATTGATTATGAATATAAATATTCTATAAGTTTTCTCCAATTTACGTCAAGTTCTTGAAATAATGAGGAAACAGAGTTGAAGTAAAATATTCGTACTAATTTCCCATAACTGCTGGAATGGGTAGGTGGACTTACTTTGAATTAGCTACTGAGCAATCAAAAGTTCCTAAAAAAAAACATTCTTCGTTCTTCATTTTTTGTCCCTTAGCTAGACGCCATTGATGTTGCTTTTATCCAGTGGGAAGCGATTTATGGCAAGGATTGCTCCATAGAGTTTGAGAAAAATTAATTTTACATTTTCAGGATGTTTATTTGAAAAATGTGTTACAAATGGATGACATCTCATTTTGAAACAAGAAAACTGAAATTTAAAATGGATTTAAGTCTGTTGTTGCTATGTTGAAGTGAAGTAAAAGAAGCATTTATTGTTGCAGATAGCTCCATCCATCTATTTTCATTGTTCATCATCCATTTAGATTTCCGTATTGGAAAAAGATGAACGATACTTTTTGATTCATATCCCACTAATGTCCGTTGTTTGCTATCGAATACTAGCTTTTCTGAAATCCAATCACGAGACAGCTATGTTCTGACCTTTCTGTTTATTCATTTTCCTTATATTAGTAATCAATTTCAGATGTGTTAAGAAGTTCAATTGATTAGCACATATTTCTTACCAATTTTTATTCGGTTGCTCGTTGCATTTTAAAAAACGCAACATTTCTTGCATAAAAGTTTAAATCATTGGCCTTCCTCAATTTTTAGATAGTCTTATTAAATTATCATTTCTCAGTTGTTCCATGCTTTTTCTTTTATTCGCGTTTTGGATGGACTCAAAATTTTCGGCTCAATCATTGAAGCAAAGGATTCATTGGTATAAGAGATTCCAATTTCACTTATTACTGGATCAGATTTGCTTTCAATGTTGTGAAACACCCTAGATCGGTTTAACTTAATTTATAGTTCAGTTTAATAAATTTTTATCACTAAATCGATTTAAAGATACATTAAGATTAATTCACGAATTCTAGATCAGATGAGTATGCATTTATTTGCATGGATTGTATTTACACAAACAGATACTCAGTAACTACAACTTTCTCAATAAAGCTTTAGTAAAAGTTTCATTAATGAGTTTTGAGCGAATGAGTGAGAGAGTGAGTGAAAATGAATTAGAATTAGTGAGATAGTATTTTACTAACATGCCGTAGTAGTATTGATAGCTGTGATTTTGCAAATTGCAATTAGTGAACTGCTTTTGGATTTAAAAGCTTAAAGTGAGAATGAGGGTGATGTTTCGCAATGAATTAAATAAGAGTTATTTTCAAAAACAGTTTCAAGTCAATAGTAGTACTAATTGCTGTGACATATCGTAGCATTAATCGTTGTCCATAGTAGCTCCATTGTTGTCATTGTTTTGGTATCAGTAACATATTATTTTATTAATTAATTAAGTTATTCAAGAACAGCATGACAAACGACTGATTGAAGCGAATGAAATTATTGTTTACTCTTAATCATATCATATCATATTTCTTTAACTATTTGTATAACAATTAACATTACATTTGTACTGAACCACATTCTTTCTTTCCAGTTTGTTGTAAATTTGTGATCAATTTTCCATCGAGAAAAGCTATTCATTACTTATAAATGATCAGTTTTTTTATAGCTAATGTAATATTATCTTTCGTTTCGTCTGTGAGCGTTCGTATATAGCAAAATGAAAGATATTAGCATAATTGAAATTTCAAGAGTTAACTTTAGGACAGTTCGTGGATTTAATCCATGAAATATTTCTGGTATTTTGTCTTGAAAAGTTATTGCTAAGCTTTGAAATGGTATTATCAGCTACCAGTTTTCACTTTTTGATTTTTCAATACTTCTAATAACCAATTTAGTAAGCTTCTTTCCTCGTAAATTTGCTTTTTACATGATCATTACTGAAAGAGAGTCTGAATTATTATTCATCGGTTATCATAATGTATTGAAATATAACAATCTATCGTTTGACAGTTATTTTCCATTTGATATTGACAGAAATTGCATCTGCATAGGTCAAGAAACAAACTGTAATAAAGATCATAGTTTCATTTTTACATAACGGAGAAAATTTGTTATCAAAATTTTTGCAAACTGTTGCTCAGCCGGTTCTACAGGTGGAAATATTTGCAACCGCAAGCATCTAACTATTTACAACAGCACATTAATCATTCATAATGGATCGTGTTGTTGTTATAAATGACCAATTTTGTGAATGACCATTGAGCCGTTTGAATGAATCAGTGTACTAGTTAGGTTTTGAAGTGTAATTTCCACTTGCTTACGAGTTTCTTACGGATGTTCAGTAAAAGTAATATTTAGTCAAGTGAATTTGAATTTTGAAATTGGACAAATTTCTTTGGTTCCTCAAAAAAATACACAGAAACAAAAAAACAGTCTGATCATTTCATTTTTAATTTTATTACAGTACTGAAAAAATTTTTTCCAACGAAGTCACCTTTTTTTGGAAAAAAGATTCGTAATTTTAATTTGCTTGAAAGCATGCACTTACAAATCGAATAATATTTCAATTGCTGCCTTTGAAATTGGAAAAGGCTTTCAAAGCTTTTTAAAAAAATATTTTTTCTCCCACTCTTCGTCTATGCATTTTATACTTAATGGATGTGAAATTAAACTTTTTGGAAAATATGCAAAAAAAGTGAAAATTTGCTTTGAATTGACGAGCCATGAGATCGAAATGTGTTCCTCACACAGTTTTTCTAAACACATCCAAAAGTCCACCAACTATTCTTGCAATTATTTGCCTCAAGCAATTTTTTGATTTTCCCTCTAAGAAGTCTCGCTTTTTTCCGATTTCTCCTGTAATTCAAAAAATTTTGAACAGATTAGATATATAGAAGTAAGTAAACATTTGGCCAAATGGAGAGATTTCGAAAGCTTTCAGAAATTTGAAAGATTTTACTTCCAAAGTTTGTCTTCTGGTCCTGGAAATATTTGTCGACTCATCTGGATCATATTATTATAGCATTATTTATATTATCTGTTCTAATCTTACAAGGCTTTTTATAAAGATTAATCCCAAGTTTCCTGCTTAAATGTGACTTTTCAATCTTCCCATGAACAATCAGTGCTAATCCTGCGTTTTTGATCCCTATTATCTTTTCTGTTGTTAAACCTTTGCATTATTCTGATGATTTTTTGAAAGTATTCTTAAATTAAGTTCTATAATCTGTAAGAATTTTAATCAAATAAACGATGTCATTCAAAAAATAAAAAAACAAAAAATAAAAAATGCACACGTGCCAGGAAGCGGAGAGTTATTGCTGTTCCGATAAAGGTCTGTATGATTTGTAATATCTGTTATTTATTAATTGAATACCAATGAATTCAGCTGCACTCAAGATATAAATATATCTTCTCTGTAAAGATGGGATCTGAAATTAATAAAGATTAAAAGGCTGCCAAAACTCTTTCTATTCATTTCTAATCTCTCTATGAATTTATAACTGTTAATTTTGTTTTCACATGCCAAAAATTGTGTTAAAATTTTCACCGCTTGTCGGCATTCGTTAGAGTACAGATTTGTTCTCTTAAGATTGACCTGGGCATCTGGCTGTCCGCGAGCCGGACACAGCCCTCCAGCAAGTTTTTTCTGCCTGCGGAGTCGCGGGAGAAGCCTACTCCACCCTTTCCTCCCTCCCGCCGCCTTTCCCTTGCGCTCGAGAAATCTTCCAATGTTCAAGTCCGAGTGACACTCTGGCGCACAGCCCTTAGAGGCTGCCTCTGATTGGCCATATATAAATTTGAACCAATTAATGTTTAGATCAATTTCCTTTATCTCTTCTTTTGATTTCAATTTCATTTCTTCATTTTACTTTTTTAGTATCTGACCATATATTGGCCATGTTTCTTTTCCCAGTTGTTTTATATAAAATGTTTCAGATGGATATATCCAATTTGATTTTTTTGAATATAATCTATCTTTGTATTTTTCCCAAATCTTAATCAATAATGCTCTTAGGTAGTCATTTCCTAACTTTTTATCTACTTACCTTTGTCATACCATAAATAGACATGCCAGGCTAACC